CATCGGGAGGAAAAGAATACCAGGAAGAAAGCACTAACTCACCCGGAAAAAGCAAACAGACTACGGAAGGTTGACGTGAGCTAAAAATTTGGACGCGAGCTCAAGAAGCAAACACAGGAGAATGGCAATGGAAAGCGACTGGGGGTCCCCCACTATTTATACCCACAGTGACCGAAAACTGACGGTTCTGATCGAGGCAAATCCAACGGCCCACAATCAAGCTGACCGCACGCCTCCTAAGACCGAGACGTGACTGGCCGCACGTCTTTTGAAACTAAAGCAGTGCCGGCGCACGTCTCCCCGCATTGAAGGCAGTAGTGACGCGTTTTTCAAATTTGAAATAACGTTCGCTGTCACGTCTCCCAGCCACGCGTTTTTTAAATTTTGAAATAATGCGCGCTGTCACGTCTCCCAGCATTTAAAGACGGACTGGCGCATTCCCTGACTTTTTGGCGCTCGAGAAACCCAAAAATCTCCTGACGAATGCACACTTCGCGCTATCAGTCAAATGGTTCGAAATATGGTTCAAATCCACCCGCCACCTCGCGAACTCCTCGCGCCAGGGCAAGCCCCTTAGCGCAAGGAGTGAGGGGCAATTGATGAAGGAAGATTTGGCCCGACCTCTTGACCACCCAACACGTGGCAAAAGCAACAGCTCGGCAAGGCAGTACGCTCAAGGCACGAGCTCCGAGAGGAGGAACCAGCGGTCCGAGCTCCCCAAAAGGAGCCCGAACTCTCCCTTTGACCCCGAGCCTTACGAGGAGCACAAAGGGCAACAACCCGAACTGGCCCACCCCAGGGCAGTTCGGGCCACACCTCTATCCGAACTCAAAACTTCACCTCGCACACCACTCCAACACTTCGCCTACAGGCCGCCGAACTGAACAACCGCATATGACACCAAAGGAGTCCGTATCCTGAGGCAGCACGCCTGACTGACTTAGGATCTGACGCTTGACAGCCGCACTTCAATGGCCACCTGCCACCGCCGCCCCCAGTCACAGAGACGGCTCCGACAAAGAGAGAAGTGGCGGTTGCCTGCCCCAACCGAGGTGATGACATCTGAACTGGCAGAAGTGCAGAGGTAATGATACCCGACCGGACAGGATCTTGGGAGTGAGTGCGCGAAGTGGTTATAAAAGGCTCTCTTCCCCCCCAAGAAGGAGGTATGTGATAACTTTGCGCCATCTGGTTTATTATCTTGCCTTTGAGAATATACTAACTTGAGCTTTGGAGCACTCTCACCGGGTTCCTCCCCGGAGATACTCGCTTTCTTCCCCGTTTCACGCACCTTCTGCTCTAGCCAGAGACAAGATCATTGACAGTTAGGACCGGCCGGATTGCGCTCCATCACACAGGATTTCAGGTTCTTTGCTTGATGAGATGCTATGTGGTGAAAGGATTATTTCATCTTCCTAGGGAAGAAAAGGGAAAGTACACCAAGAATCAGAGTTCACCCATTAGTCTAGAAGGTTACGGGACTGACAAATTTGTTTCAAAGGATCGGACTATTGACCGGTCTGATCGACTGTTTCTCCTACTATTCCCAAAAGATCAGTGGAACCTCCAAATGTGGCCAGAGAAGCCTCACAGTTTGAGGTGCTATCTCTCATCAGTTTCACTATATATAACAATACATTTATACAGATTTAATTGTATTAGCAACATCTATCGGTGATGATGAGAGTATTAATATTGCAGAGAAACCTTCAATGAGTATGGCTTTAAGACAAGCTTGGTAGTTGAGCTCCTTCTCAAAGCCATGGCAAAAATTCTGGATTTGGAAGAAAACTACTTTGTGAACCATTTTGAGGACCAGACTACAGCACATGTCCTGTTTAACTACTACCCTCCTTGCTCAAATCCAAACCTTGTCTACGGCCTTAAACCCCATACAAACGGATCCATGGTCACCATTGTGTTGCCAGACAGAGAAGTGGAAGGCCTCCAAGTCTTCAAAGACCAAAAGTGGATCAAAATTCCGGTGAAACCTCATGCTTTGGTGGTCAATATAGGAGACCAGATGAAGATATGTATTCTCTTTTCTGTCTGAATTTCATTTTTTATTTATTTATTTATTTTTGTTATTGTTTGAAGGCAAACTAATTCAGAAGTTGGGGTGAATCAAGCAAGCCATACCTTCAATCTCATTATCATCTAAGCCTAATCCCAATTATATGGGGGTTGGCTATAAGAATTCAGTTTCATCATAATCTTCTGTTTAACGCCACATTCATTGTTAATTATCGAGCCTATTTGGTGGGTGGGTGGGTAAAAGGGGTTTGGAATGGGATTCTCACAGTTTGGTTGAGCGGAATCAGAATCTCATTTACATTCTAGTTGAAATGGCATTCCCTCAAACATTCCCCCATTTGAGGGAATAAACCATTCTGATTCTGGTTCTAATTCTGGTTGTAAACCAAACGGACCCTAGTGTTCTAAACTCTTAGCCAATTCCTACACTATTTCCACCCCATGTACTTCTTGATCTATCTATCCATCCCTATACCCTTCTAGCCCCTTCATCTCCACCATTATGAATTTGTCTTTCACCAAGGTTGGATAAAAGAGAAGGGTTGCGTCAGCTTAACAGCTGACCCTAAAACTTTTGCCAAAATCATACCTTTGATATCAATACTTTCTTTAGTATAGAAATTAATGTGCTGAATTCATATTGAACCCTGAAGCAATATTGATCACTCGATCATGATAATGGCAGATAATGAGCAACGGAGTTTTCAAGAACCCCGTGCATAGGGTGATGACAAATTCAGAAAAGGCAAGAACTTCTGTCGCTGTATTCTATTCAATACCGCATGAGAAAGAGGATGAACCAGCAGATGCATTGATCAACGAGAGCAGGCCCAGATTGTACAGGAAAGTAAAGGTCAAAGACTATCTCCAAGTCTTCCACCAAAGCTACCTGGCGGGTAAGAGAGGAATCGACTATGCCAAAGCCTAAGTTATATATATACGAGTCTTATCTATCATCATCTCTCGTTGGGTTAACTTCCAGAAATATATACTTGTAATTATCTTACATCCAAGTCTCGATGTAGGCAAAGTGTGCAGTATTTGTTAATAAGGCCTTCTTTGTTTGCAGTGGCCATGGAATTTCAGACTGCAAATGGTGTGAATTAATCAGACTTTAAATGGTTGAGTGTGAATTTCGGTTTTTTTTTTTAAAAAAAAAGGAGAAATTTATTCATGGGGGGTTTAGACACATAAACCTTATCCCTCAAGCTAAACAATACAAGAGAACATAATAACCTCTTAAGAAACTTAAAAACAAAACATAATTCTAGTGGATTATAATGGATTATAAACTTTATTCAGCCTTAAGGATCTATGCGGTTTTCAGAGGCTTAGTTGAGTCCCATTCTTTAGATTTATGACCCTTCTTTTTCCTCTGGTGATAAAACCTTGATGAATAAAATCCTTTGTTTGTATGAAGTAAAATAGGAAGTAAAAATGATGTGACCCCATCTATATATATATATATATATAATAGAAATTAAGACGAAAGAGATCGAAGAGGTGAGGGATTCTCTCACCACATAGTTCACGTGTACCCATTTCTTTTTTTTTTTCTCACACGTGCATATTTATTTATAAATTAAAGGGTAAAAAACTTAAACCTCCCCTCTATTTTTTTATAGGACTTAAACCTACCCTCTCATAATGAAATGCCGCTATATTTAACAGAATTGATGAAAAGACATTTTTATCCCTCATTATGCTTCAATTCTCAAAGAAAACCAAAGCTACAGTTTTCGTGATAGATTAAAGGGGCCTCGGCCGGAAATGAACAAGAAATTTGGGGCAGATTAAAGGACCTCAGTGGAGGACCAAAAAACAGAAACAGGAATCATGATGACAGGGTTTTTTTGGTTCATAAAGAATGAGTCTTGGATGTTCCATCTAGTTATCAAACTAAACCTAGAAGCAGAATATCAGAATAACCACTTTTTTTATTTTTTGCTTCAAGGAGTACAAGCTAAAAATCATGATGAGGTTTCTTATTCCAATAGAATATATTGTTTTAATCAAGGTTCAAAGTATCGTTACATATCTACCCGTATTGGCTGATACGTATCGTTCCGAGACCCTTTTAATACGCCCCTATAGTGGGTGTATCATGGGTCTGACCGGTTCAGGGGATGGAGGGGTCCTAGACTGGCTCCCCTGAACCAGTTTTGAAAAAAAAATAAAAAATAAGTAAAAAACAAGTATCGAAACACCCAATATACCACTACTGGCATATCAGATGTATCGATATTTTGAACCTTGATTTTAATAGGATAAACATATATAGGGGTAGTGGGAAAAGATACGGAGAATGGTTAACACTCAGAAACACATCATTTATGTTAAATGAATCAATCATGGAAATTCAAGAAACTTGTAGATTGAAAACTACCCCTAGATTTTACATCCATTTGGAAGGAAATTCCTAGATATTCTTTTGCTAAATAGAAAATCCTGGTATATTTGTAACAACTATTTCTGAATCCTACGAAAACCATATTGAAAGTTTCTTGTCTTTCAATTCCTTCCAATGCTCTATAACTCTCAATCCATAACACTGAAGAAAAAGAGTCAAAAAGAACCGATGGAGGGGCAATATTGGGTTTCTTGAAAATTGTAATAAAATTTAAAAGTTTACATAACAGGATCTCAACGGATTGCTAACAAAAGGGAGGTATATGTCTGATGATCATATCACAAGGGAGGTCTTAGTCCATTTATGCGGTGTTAGGCATCGATGCCAATTTCTGAAGAAATGATGCCATATAGGTGTCACATCAGAAAAGATGGTGCTTTAGAAAACAGCCTCTTATTTGGTCTCGTTTTAGTATAAAAAACATGCTTCAGACCACACATTGAAAATTAGGAAAATGTGATATGAAGAAACTAGCTTCACAGAAGACGAATTTCTTCACTGAATGAAAGTGTACTTGGGCTTTGTGATTCCGAATTTTCACCAAAAAAGTTTTTTTTTTTTTTCTTATATGAGTTCCACCTTGCAAAGCCAGAAATCGCTGCATGAAAGCCCTCCAAATGGGCACTAACTACATAAGTGGCTTAATCATCTGTTTTATTTGGTGAATTAGCTTCGCCCTTTCTTTATGGGAGCCTGGTTCTGCTGCTCGCATCACTGTATATCACTTGTTACATAACCAATCACAAGTGAACACACTCCTGGCTTCTCTACTTGGTCAAGCAAGCAAAAGAAAAGTAACAAAGCAATGCAAGCGAAACACAGAAATGCTATAGGCAGAAAATACACTTCGGTTCCTGGCAGTTTTGGGGCACCCCGGTGCTTGACTGTTGTCAATGGTACAGTGATCCTTGCTTTTGGGACTGACTCAGGGTGGTGCCGGACGAGGCTCAGAAATAAAATGGTAAGGTGTTGCTAGATGATCCGGAGGCTCAGAAAACAGAGTTGGACCTCCTATCTCCTGGTTGAACAAAAAGGTAGATGAATTCTCATGCATTCCACTCTAGCAAAATTATTGAAGAAATACCAAAAAAGTGTTGCAAGGAACCAGAAAATCGAATTATTGATGTATCAAGGTGTGAAGAGATGAGCTTATCTGGCATAAAGGAGCTTGACGCGCTTATCTACCAATTGAAAGAATTGACAAATCTAATTCAATTAGAACTGATAGGGCTGGAGTGCTGGACTGTCTGCTTTCAGCTTCAGACCATTGGTGCCAATTGCAGACACATGGTTGAAGTTGGACTAAGACAGGAGTGACTGATGGAGGCATTGCTGGGTTGGTTTCTGCCATTGCAGCTTCTCGTACCAAGCTTGCATGCCTCAAGTTGTAGTCCTGTAATTTAATCACGGAGAAGGACCTTTGATCAGATTGGTTGCTTCTAATGGAACTTGATCTCACTGATTGTAGTGTAGTGGTGTAACAGATACCATAGAGCTTGAAATTTGATGAGAATTTGCTTGAAAGCCAGTTCTACTCTGGGAAACTATAATTCACAAAAGATTTTCAAACACTTGTTTCCAAGGCTTAATTTTTTTTAATAAAGTTGGACCGAAAATATAGCTTCCTTCTATTTTATTGCTGGGGGTGGGGGATGCAGCAATGAATTTACTTTGGACTCCATAGAACAGTCAGTATCAAGTCCACGTAAAAATTAAAATAACCCAGATTATAAGTGATTCAATTGACTGAAAAGGCGTCCAAGTGAGTCCTTAAAAACGGAATGACCAAGGCTTTGTGCTCTTTACTGCAAATTTGAGTTAACTCAACCCAACCTGGCACATATAATACCAAAATGTACAAGAGATGCTCGGTTGCAGAAATGAATTTGTGACCACAACAAAGGAAAAGAAACAACCATGGCCAAAGATTTTCCATTTTGGCAAGAGTATACAGAACAATTTTCGAATCATTCAGAAATACAAAGTTGCATGATTAAAATGTGAACATGAGTTAAACTATTACTAAAGCAGTGAACAATCAAGAAATGATAATTTTAAAAAATTCAAGAAAACAAGATATAACCTTCTCTTTGAAGAAATGCCGATCAACATCAAACTGGGTACCCGATTTGCACCCTACTTGAAGACTAATCCAACTACATGATCTCTCACATCATATTCAGCCATCCCTTCTAAGGAACCACTACTTCCCAATACAGTTCATTCCCAACTCAGTTCTGTTCCCAGTAAATGCTCCCAACATTGTCCCAACAAGCTATTACAGTCGCACATTGGGAACATCTCACATGAATGACAAGGGAGATGTTCCCAATGTGCAGCTGCAGCTGTTGGGACAGTGTTGGGAGCGTTTGGTTGGTAATAGCAGTTCCGTACCCGTTCATTCCTATTACCTCCAATCTTCCTAAAGAATCAAAAACAAAAAAAAAACAAAAAGAATTTCTGACCCCTCAGTCCTGTGAATCAGGCCATTCAGTAAGGTGATGGTGAAGGACTATGTCAAAGCTTTTTTACCCAAGATACCTGCAAGAGAAGAGTTCAACTGATTGGACCAAAGCTTAAATTCTGGATGATGCAAGTTCATTCTCAGAAATTGCTCTAATCTGATGCCATACTAATGCCAACATATTCAGAACACATGATAAAGATATATGGGCAGAAAAAAGGTTACATATAGATGTTTATATTACCTACAAAATCAAACTTAATATATGATACACATTATTAATTAATAGCGCAACGTGTCAACTAAACACCAACCTCTAGTGAATAGATGTGGATTGTGGAGGAGATAAGTTAATTGATTATGTTGTGCTGCAGTCCTAGGGTTTTGAATTGAATCCCTGAATTTCTGCATGAACAAAACTATAATGCAAGGAATCATATTCAGATCCTCTAAATTCGGCAAAATTAACTATACAATCACAGTCCTCAATAATATGGCCAAATCAATTAACAGCATCTTTATCTATGAAGCTTCAGGGAGTTTTCCCCCGACTCACAATTAATTGAAAAAAATACTATATGATAAATAATATATTACACTGAAGCAGCATTTCAAAGCTCAAAAAACTGGCTCTTAATTTAGTGCTGTGGTGAAATCCAAACCAGATATCAGATTTATACCAGTAGGGCATGACAATATTGGCCCTAGAAGCCATTCAACTAGAAACTTGATGCTCTTGCAGTGACAGTGGCACACTTGGTCTCCATGTTGTCCCATCAGGGCCATCCATTAGAGCAATACCCACTGCAGCCAACTCTTTCCTGATTCCATCTGATTTCTCATATTCCTTATTCATCCTTGCTGAAGTCCTTTCCACAATTTTCTGCAGAACTTGATCTTCTGTCAAGTCTGCTCGCTTCAATGCCTTTTCCCTCAATTGCTGCAAAGCCTGTACAATAGAAATGGAAATTTTAATTGAGAAAATATACATAAAGCAGTAGGCCATGTAACCGGGCAACTTTCAATTCCACATTCAACAAAACATGAACATCTAGCTCAATTAACAGGCATACTGCAATGCAAGCAAGAGCTTCAGTTTCAAGTACATATTTTCTACCAAGAAAAAATGAATATAATTAACAGACCTCGGAATAACTTGTAGGCATCAATCCAAGAACAGTCAAAACATTCCTAATTTCCCTTTCAAGAGATGAAACAGATTCAATCCGTAGTGCCTGCTTCTTCCCCTGGAAGACTCACTCAATTAGAAACAAAATCGAGTTCTGGATAAAAAATTATTGGTGCACTAATCAGTGGATGAGAAACAAACATACTTTACGAGTATGCAGGAGATCATTAATAGTTTTCAGTGGTTCAGATAGTGCAGCCAAAACAACAGGAGTGTGAAGATCATCAGACATAGAAGTCTGAAAATCACTACGGAATTTAATGATGCAACTCAAAGTCTCAGGTGGAAGAGAGTCCTGGATTGCTCCATCATGTTGGCATAACATCTCTTCACAATCACGTAATGTCTGCAAAGATTAAAAGTCATGAAATTACTCAACAAACAGATGTGTCTTTTGTCCAAGTAGAACTTATCTAAGTTTTTTTTTTTTTTTTTTTTTTTTTTGAGAGAGAGAGAGAAGGATAAAAAGATTGTATGTGAAACCTGTCCAAGTTTTTCCTTGTTTTTCTTTTTTGATCAGTGAAAACTTTATTTCCAATAAATTGTACAATTTTAGAATTATCTTATAGAATGCTTCCTTAAATCACTGAAAAAAATATGGATTCTAGGAGAACTAATTACAATAAACCAAAGAACTATTTTTCAATTAAACAGCAAAATGCAGAGAACTACTTATCATGATAAGTTTACAGCTGAAGAGGGAAATAAATAAAAGAAAAGAATATGAATTTACAGTAGACTCCAAAATTTTTAGAACACTCAAATTATGTGGAGAACAAATGATGGTGATTATTACCTGATAGATATAGAAAACACGATCCGATGCACTTTCAAGCAGTGCGACTGAGTAATTTATTGGTGATCTATAGTGAGTCCCCAGCAAGAAAAGCCTCAAAGCCAGAGGATGATATAGGTCTATAACCTGAACAACACCACAGATAAAATAAAATAAAATCTACCAAAATAGGATAAAGAAGACCACCAAAAGTAAATGAGTACTTGAATTTCCATTACCTGACGAATTGTGAAAAAATTTCCAAGTGATTTGGACATCTTCTCTGAGTCAACAGTGACAAATCCATTGTGCATCCAATAGCTTACATTGCTCTGTCCACAGGCTGCACAACTCTGAGCAATTTCGTTTTCATGGTGAGGAAAAACAAGATCCATCCCTCCACCATGAATATCAAAAGAGTAACCAAGATAAGCAGCACTCATCGCACTGCATTCAATATGCCACCCCGGTCGTCCAGGTCCCCATGGACTCTCCCAGAATGGCTCTCCCTCCTTTGCAGACTAGAACCAGTAAAAGACACAGCTATAAGTATCTTGGGCACACCAGAAATCAACACAAATAGATTACAGATTACTAGACGAATCAGAGCCTTTCCATCTACTTACTTTCCATAATGCAAAATCAGCAGGATTTTGTTTCCTGGAATCCACAGCAACCCTTTCACCAGCTCGATTATCGTCCAATTTCCTGCCAGATAGACATCCATAATCAGGGAACTTGTCTACAGAAAAGTATACATCCCCATCAATTCTGTAGGCACAACCATTATCAAGAATCTGTCAAATAAAACAAATAAAACAAAAATCAGTTATCTTCCATGCATGGTTGAATTTAACTAGAATATTACTGCCATAAAGAATAAATATTTTTTTATTGGAAGCAGTAACTTTCATTACTGAAAAGAGTACATCTGTCAAGCACTCATTACTGTAGTGCTGATCCCATAGACCCCACAATTAATTCACAGATTACAGCATCACCTAAAACAAGTTTCCCATAAAGAATAAATAAAAAATAAGAAATAAAAAGGATAATAAAGAGTAAGAAAGTCCATCAGCATAGATGAATAGGAAAACTCAATATTGTTTATGAATGCATGTGTTCACAACTACAACCTCAAAAAATTCAAACAAATCAGTGGTAAGCATTCATTATCAAGAGTCGATTCCAACAACCTACTTATGATTCTCTGGAATCTATTGCTTATAGTTAAAGCACACAAGTTTCTTTCCTAAATCTTAAACTGAAACACGGAAATTGGTGTTTTAACTCCTAAATGCATGCTTTTCAGTTCTAAATCCAGGGAAAGATCATGAATATAGCAGCAAAAGCACAACGTGATGATACAGCTTGTGTTTTTGTTTGTTTTCTAAATTTCCCAAAGTTGGCATATGAAATGGATATGCACCTAACCTTCTGCATTTTTTTTACACAAAGTGGTCATCTCTCAAATAGCAATCATGCTATCTCCTCGAAGCAATAACCCTTGGAATAATTCCTATACTGCAGGAAATTCAACTTATTGAACTGGTCTTTCATTTCATATGTACTTTGTGTCACATTTGGAAGGATCATACCCTATATTTACTCCTGATCATCCAAGATCGTGGGAGTTGGGAGTGGTTGACTGGACATGAACCTAACCTTCTGCACTTTTTTTACACAAAGTGGCCTCCTCCCCCCACCCCCCAAATTTTGTTTCACATTAGAAGTTAAATTAATGTTATAAGCTTTTCTATGAATGTAGATTATGGATTTAAGTTAGATTTTAAAATGGTCAAAGCTATTTCTTTAATGTAGAATAACCAAACTTTACATGTAAGATTATAAATGGAAAGGTCATTTCTCATTAGCCAACAGGGATGCTATAAGATAATATTTCCCCCCATCCCAGTGGGCATACATTTTTTGCAAAGAGATTTGATATACAAGCCTCTAATTGGGAAAATGAGCATTTATACTTGAAAGAATATGCATATTGATAGATACCCAACTACCTGAGGAATCACCATGAAAATCTTATGAATAACCTCCTACAGGTTTCATAATAGTTAAAAGACTGCACATGGATAGTTATATTCTTATGGGAAATTTTCCAAGGGATGAGACCAAACCCACAGTTTGAGGTGTTTTTCTTTTGGGTAAGTATGATAGATTGAAATTACAGTTTAGGGCATATTCATATGAATCTTTGCAATTGAAATGGTTGGGGGAAGGATTGGAAATTGTAATCTTGCATTTTATATATTTAAAATTCCAAGTTGATCCACCTAGATAAATAATACAAAAAAATAACAGTTTAGAGGAATTTTTTGGGGTATGTAAAACAGGATTGAACCTGCAAATTAAGGTTTTCAACATAAAACACCATTAAAGAATCAGATGATACTACATCAGAATACCAGAGAAAAGGACCTCTACTGCCATTAAATGATCAATTAAATACCTGTTTTCAATTATAAAAAGAAATTAAGTACCTGTTTAATCATATAAATAATTTGAGGCATGTGGTCAGAGACACGTGGTTCCACAGAAGGGGGGAGGCAATTGAGATACACCATATCATGACGGAATTCCTTGCAGTAACGTCTGCTTAGACTTAATGGATCCTCTCCAAGGTCATTTGCTCTAGCAATTATCTACAGCATTCCAGGAGTGCATAACTCAGCACAATATCATAACTACGCAAGAGAACTAGTTTTCTTCATGTTCCACAGCATAAAATAAAATACAATTAAATTAATTGTCAGTATGGTACCATACTGACAAATTCATGGAACAATGAAATGGCAATTTACTAATAAATGATCCACAAATTGGAAGTAAGATGAAAAAGAAGAAATTTGAAGCTAAACATGAATATTAAAATAGGGCACAGTACCAAACTGTCAAGTGTGAACTTAACAAAAAAAAAGAAAGAGCTTTTACATGTATGACTTGGAAGTGCTAGTGAATTGATAATTCACAAATTGAAAACTATAGACAAGATGGTGAGTCTGTTCAGTGTCTGGAGTAATAACAAGTTCCAATATAAGGTATCTAACAGGAACAAAATAATTTTCCATATATAGCATCATTTTTTTAACAAACATCATTCTCCATTATAACAAATCCTTTGATAATCCATTTTTTTCCTTTTCTTCTGAAGCAATATTCCTCATATAAGGTAAACTCATCAAATGGCTTAACTCATATGCACTACTGTCCTAGCCTTGGTTTGACAAATTCTAGGGGAAAAGTACAATATGATGCATTAGAATGTTCAGTCTAGAAGAAATCTCAATTACCACTTCTGTTTTCCAGGTGAACTCATCATAATCTTTTCAAAATTAGAAGCACATATGATCATACCCTGTTGTTTCATTAAAAGTAAAAGGCTTTTTAAATATATTCCATTATGTGAAAAAGTATTTTTCCTTTGAAAATAGAAAAACTGTTTCCACAAAATTTGTTAGAACAGAAGTCAAGAAACTTTTGATTCATATGATCACATCATAGTGTAAAAGCTTTAATTTCAAGACGTATGCTTTGAGGCCCAGTGTTCCATTCATGATTGGTAACTGCTCAACTATTTTTATATAAGGTTAATCATGCTCTCACCCTTCTTTTATACAAGTAGTGCAAATTGTACTATTAACCACTACAAAACATTAAGTTTATATGGGAAGGTTAATGTGGCTTGCAACCAATGTTGTAAAAGGCATTTATTTTAAAGACAATTACAGAACCTACCATCTTCAACCAACGTTGTATCAGGAGAAACCGAGAAACATTAGACCATATGGCAGAAGAGCAAGACTTGAACCTCATCAGACCTCTTTTGTTAATTTTAGAGAAACATAAACTAATATATATATATATATATAAAGAAATGTTCAGAGAAAGATTGTAATTTTTTACAGAAATATGTATACATGATTTAACCATCACATAAATAAATAAGTTAGATTGTAAAAGTGCACAAGCTGTGATTAACCTTTCTATTTTTTTACATAGTGCATAACAATAAAATTAAAAAAAAAAAATCAATTCATATCAAGATGGTCATAAAGCAAATGTTTTAATCCAACAAATGATCATAAAATTACATTAGAAAAAAATTATATCACATTTTATAAGCCCTTCACCACCATTTACTTGAAAAGCTCTTAATAAAAGGACCATAACCCAATGATGTCCCATCTATCTGGATTCTTGGGAAGGGTAGGCTGGATATGGACCTAACCTTTGGCATTTTTTGGCACAAAATGGCCGCTCTCAGATTTTAACCTCCCTGATAGTTTAAATAGCACCAAGCAATTGCTCCAATTTGCAAAGATCTTAATGTAAAATAAAATCATTAAATGGGTTTAAAACCCATAAGGCACATCTAAGGTGGGATGCATGTTTTTAGTCTTGTGATTAAAAAAATAAGATCTTGGCCTTGTGAAGAGAACTGTACTTCAATAACTATGTAATCAGATCAGTTTGTTTTCGTTGAGCCATGCATTTAAGTAAACCTTTTGAAATATTAATTTTAACCAACTGCAGAATAGCTACACTTTAAGCAAGGTGTTCTTCTGGTGAAACTTTCCTAGTTAATATGCCTTGAACGGTTCAAAGAATCTTTAATGGAGAGACCTTTGCAAGGACTGAAATATGTCATGCATTTAGAAAGACCAAAGACTAAATGAATTATTTAAAAGGGAAAACAACAGTTTAGTTCTTATCATCTTTACACAATTTGGTAAATCATTTCACCCTTAAAATATCTTACAGAGTTTCCTATGAATCTTGGAGACACATGTACAAAGGTTACCACTGGATGTATATACATTGGCCCTTAGAAAAATATGTATGAAAAATTCCAGTGAATGAATTTTCTATTTTATTTGTTTGTCTTCAGAAAAAAAAAATCCACTGACACATAATAAAGACCGCAAATCTGATTAAAATGTAAAGCAATCTTTTCCCAAGACAGAGAGACACTTGATAAATATCTCAGTTTTGATTCTGTTGCTGATCAAAAATAAATAAATATCTCAGTTTTGATTCTATAGTCATCTATGGAGAATGTGGCAGCCTTGATTGAATCTGCAAGGATTCAGAAGACGAAACTCTCTGATCTAAGCAAGAGCGATGTCATAAAAAGGGCCATGCCCCCTTATTATTGACCAATGGCATTGCATGTGACCAGTACAGAGTGGACAAGGCAACATCAAGCAGAACTGGGAAACATGAACCTATGCAAGTCATTATCAGATAAAAGACAAACACTATCTCATCCTGCCATTCAATATAAGGATTTAAGGTATATATTTCAGATCCATCAGGCAGGCAAATGCTTGAACAATACCATCATCATCATTCTCCAACAAATGCCCAATGAATAGAACTTAAAGAAATTTATTTTCAATAGAAACGTGCTCACCTTGTCATCAACATCGGTGAAGTTGCGTACGTAACAGACATCATATCCCAAATACCTTAGATATCTGTCTAATTTCCAAACAATTACAAAGTAAAATAATTAGTTGCAAAAAGATGGGGAAAAAAAAAAGAAAGAAAGATGGGATAAACAGTCAACAAGCAAGAGCAACTCATTCTAAATAAAGTTTGTAACTTTGAAGTGTGAAGTTTCTAAAATGGGGGAACCCACCCCTAGTCGTAAGCAAGAGAATGTAATTTAGCCCCGTAGAAATGGTGTTTACAAAATAAAAGATACCAAGCATTAATTTCAGAAACAAAAGTTAGTAATAATTTAGCAGAAAATGTAAAAAAAAAAATTATAGCTAATTTGGGGTTGCGGAATCGAAGCTACCGCAATTAAAGGTTTGCAAGAACTACTATTGATTGAAACACCCAAAAAGAAAAATAGAAACTCAAATTGGGTCCAAAAGAGCAAAACAAGGGATCCAAGAATTTAAAAAACTAACCTATACAGGACATCGAATGAGACATAGACGCGGGCATGGCCGATGTGACTGAGGTCATAGGCGGTAATGCCACAAACATACATTCCGACTTTACCAGGAATCTTGGGCTTGAAGAGTTCCCTCTGTCTACTCATGGTATTGTATAACCAAAGCTCCGAACTGGGTCCTTGTTGCTTCTCTCCATCGTTACTATGATTACTTTCGTTATCAACAGAAGATTGAGATTCCAAAGAGCTGAAGCAGCAGAAGCTCTGACGGCGATTATAATTGTTTTCTTTGTATCTGAAGAAAAAGGCGTTAATGGGATGTCGCTTCATCAGAGAACGATGATGGTTGTGGATTGGAATCCTTCTTTTCGCACCAGAGAACTGAGATGCATGGAATAGGACCAACGGCCGGTAACACCGAGGTAGCGTTGCCATCCCCCTGCTGCAGTTCTCAGTAACTCCCCAGATAACTTCTTTAGCCTTGGACCCTCTAGAGGATGTTCACGGCTAGGAAGAGTAGAGAACCGGAATTATCTAACAACGGAAAAAACTATCGATAGACGATTCAGTGTATGAGACTGGATCCGCTGCACTAGATGGGCTAAACTCCGGACTGTTTAACGTTTTTATTTGGGATAAACTCTAAATACCGCCTATAGTTTGTGGTCTATCACTTAACTCCCTAAACTATATTTTGTATCGAATTCATTCCAAACTTTTATCTGATGACTGCAAAATACCGCCTGGATCTTTGGATTTACTTGGGACATCATTTGGATGAGCTAGATTAGATGAATCTTGAAACACCATTTAGATGGGTTAGGTTAGATGAAATTTTGATGCACCATTTGGATGGCTGAGATTATTAACTGGTTTCAAAAGACTTTTATCGATGGTTCAGATCTTAGATTTTTACTTCTATACATTACATTGCTAGATTTTTAAGAGAATTTCATGCATTACTTGTATGGTTGAAATTAATTAAACTCATTGTGTATCATTTAGAGGGGCCAGATTAGACTAGACGAAATTAAATTTTGATACACCATTTTGATGGTTGGATATGTTAATTGATTTTAGGTGCCATTTTGATGGTCAGATCTTAGGTTTTATTGACACTATTATATCACCTAAATTTTTTAAAGATTTTCATGCATTACTTGGATGGCCAAGATTAATTAAAAACTTTGTACATTACTTAAAATAGTTGAGAGGGGGGAGAAGAGGGGAATACTGATGGTGGCAGCTGCTGATGACCGGAGGGAGGAGAATAGCAGTGGCAGCAGTAGAAGCAGAGGGGAGAGGGGAGGAAGAAGGTTGTTTCTTTAAACCTAGCCCTATCCAAGTCAACCCTCATTTATCCCAACCCAACTTTCATAAGGTTAGGTTAAGCTCAGGGTGGACCAAAATTGTGTGCTGCTTGACAATTCAGCACAATAAGCATGCTCATAATCCATGCTATTCATTTGGGAAAAATCCATGATGTTGGAAAGCTGAAAAAGCTTTAACTATTCACAATCCCCGTGAATTTTGAAAATCCACCTGATTGGTTACCATTAAGATGATGCTGGTAGATTAGTTATCGGTTATAAGTTTTTCCCAATATCATGTCTTTTCTGCATCATAGTTGAACCCATTTCATTTGAAGTAGAGAAAGAATTAACTCAAATTTGCCTTCCAAACATGTAATAATAACTCATGAAATACCTCTTAAAGAAATAAGCTAGATGAATATCTCAATGAAAGAGACCCCTAGAAAGTATCAACTGAAAACCCTAATTCCAAGATCAGATAGAGAAGTTGTGTTTTACATGAGCAGGATTTTACATTCAGAAGCACGTGATAGACCAGTTATACAGAGAAACATGTTAACAGTAATAAAATCGGGTTGATGACAGAATTTGGAAAAACCCAGTCTTTTTTTTTTCTTCTTTGTCAATTTTGGTTAGAGCTGTCAATGGGTCATGTCTATCTGATAGAACCAAACCAACCAAACTGATTATGTCGATTACGGTTCTGTGGTTTGTGTCCCGATTAGTAATTGAGTCAGGACCAGTTCTTACTATTCCAACCCAATTAAGTAACTGATTAAGTGCTGAACTGATTATATAATTAATAATATATAACGTCTCCTAATTTTTTTTTTGTAATTTTTGTTATATTTTATATGTAAAAGGGTTAATTTCATAGACAAGTATATAAGATAATTTTCGTTAAAAACACTTGCTTTATCAACATATAAACAGTTAACTATTTACTACTCTCATTCTTATTAAGGTTATATTATCAGAGATGAAGCTCCAAGTTATCCCAATTAATAACTGGTTCAGTTATAGATCTATTTTATAGAACCAATTAATAATTGGTTAGGGATTAGTCCACCCTATCCCGGACAGACCTGACCCATTGACAGTTCAACTCTCTGTAATAAAATTCTAAATTTTTTGTCAAACCAAACATCACAAATATTCTGGGATCCTAAACAGATGGAGAATAAAGAGTTCACCCTCTCAATTCTCTTCAACTTCTTCCCCAAAAAATTTCAGGCTGAAGCACATTTGCCTCTTTTTTTTTTCCTTTTCATTTACATCAAAACAAATCAGAATGGGTGGAAACAAAGTTTTTGCTGTAAAAGGGGCAGAAATAATAGCTAAAATATTTCAAACTGAAAATAATTTAAACCCATCTTACAAAGAAAAACAACCTAAAAGTTCAGTAGCAAAAGACTATCAACATTAGCCGAAATTCAGGTATAGATGGCATGAATATCATCCATGTCAGATTCGTCAAGTCTCATTTCCTGAATTCAGAATGAGTTGATCAAGTGCGAGAGTTAATCACCGACTGAAATACTGAATATGCTACTTCATAAGTTTTTCAGGATCTTTCTCAGACACAATCTGATGAGGTCCTAAAACCTTTCACTACCAGTAAAAAAGAGTAGTTAGCACTCAAAATTGATGATGGACTAAACAAATTGAGATGCAAACTAACATTTGCTAGATGATTTCAGTATGAGGTTGAGTGGTTCTACATTTTCAATATTAAAAGGCAAAAATAATAGAACTCTCTTCACTTGCCAACAAATACTAAAAGTAAAAACCACCCTTATTGTTCATCTTAATGGCTTAATCTATTAACATCCTATCAGACAACTAATGCTAATCTTAATGGAAAATGAGGAAAAGTCAAAAATGCCATATCTGAAGCCTTATCCAAGTTTGAACTATCCTTTCAGGCTGTCTGGCACAAAAAATAAAAGCAACATCTTTTGCCTTCCAATACTCCGATTCACCCATGTTCTACTTCCTCGTTCATCTGAAAACCATTTGCCCACCATTCCTTCAAGCCTTCTATTTTCTACATTTGAATTTGAAATTGATTACATTGATTTGTTCCCAAGTTAAAAGTCCTTTAACAGATGTCCAACTTCTGACGAATGGAACTTGAAATGCCGCAAGTGCTTGGCAATCTACTTTGTAAGCAAGTCAGATTGAGAATGGATTCATCTTTGACATCAATCAAGAAACTCCAATCTGCTTTTGTTATCTTTTAAACGGATAGCAATGTATATATTAATATTCAAAAAGGTGTACATGAGAGGATGTACACGGTGTACAAAATATTCGAATTCCCCTCAATAACAATCAAAAAAGAAAAATCTGCTCAATTTATGAAGGCAGAGACCAGTCATAATACAATTCAGCCCCAGATTTGGTGAGAACATCCGCCACAGGATTCAATTTCCGAGGAGTCCACCCGAGAGTAATTTGCAAGAAAGTTGCAATCTCCCTAGATTCATTTATAAAATGAGCCAACCTGCAAGAACACTCCTTAGCTTTTCATTTCAACAGATATAGAGATGAGATGATATAACTAGCTGTTTAGCTATCCATTAAAGGGAGATGACTTCAGCCTTGGCAGAGTCAGTAACACCAATAGGCCATTAAAACCCCAGTGGATTCTGCTATCTGCTCTATAAAAAACACCACCCAGCAGCCCCAGGGTTGCAAAGTAACTCATCGAATTGACCTGAATTCACACTCCTCTTTCCGTGAAGGAACTCGTCCAATAACCAAGTCAACTGGTGGTAGTGAAGGATATCAAACAGATTTCCATTTAAATCTTCAACTGAAATGCCATGGAAAGTGTCTGAAGTAATAACTCATGAGTTAAGCATGCCCAAGTCATCACCATGTGAGCTCTCATGAGAAGTAGTTCTATTATCATTCTTAATGTGATACTGAACTCTCTGAAACCAGACAACATGGATTGGACACCCAATTGAGGCTCCTGTACTACAGCTATAATATGCTGCCTTCCACAGCCCTTAGCGTAAACATGGTAGCACAGTCTGGGTCCCAAATCAATGTTGTTAGCCAAATATTTGTGGTTCAAAGTAGAATCAATCAAGACCACTCCAATGTACCATCTTGTAATTACTAGGATGGATTGATGTGCTGCAGAAATATCTCAAGGCTGATGGATGGCAGGGCCTGTACAGGGGATTTGGGTTTGGGATATCCACATTAATCTATGCACTCTTGAATGCAATATGGTGGGCATAGAACTTACAGAGTTGTGCAGGGAAGATTTTCAATTTGATTGCTGTTTCTGTCAAAAGCATGAGGATGGAAGATGGAATATGGGCAGCAGATGTAGGATTTGCTAACCATTGTGACAGTTCAGTAGTTGGGTGCAGCCACGTGGGAGACAACCAAAACAAGACTAGAGTAAATTTAATGGGGAGGAAAATGGGTTTAATATGTCCTTGACTATTGGGTAGATGGAAAAGAATCTGGTTAAGAAAGGTTAGTTAGTTGCATGTAGAGGATTAGGCCAAAGGTGGCTTTCATATGTCCATGTCTGAAACCACAGTAATCACTGATTTGTTAAATGGCTCTCAAATCAAGAGAACTTGATGTGACCAAACACAAATAAACAAAATAAAAGAAGATACTATGTTTTACTTCTCGTTTCCTTTTCCAATCTTATGTTCTTTTCATTTTCTTTGGGGGCCTTCTGTTGGGTTTGTAAGGGTAGTGCCATATTTTATTTAAAAAAAAAGAAGTTACAGTTGTGGGTGCTCATAAGCTAACAGCAGTGGCTCAAAGAAGGTTAACAGAAAGCCGGTTTTTCTCCAGCCACAGTAGCAGACAAGCAAAATGTCAGAGTTGGTTCACTGAAGTCAGTTCTAGTGTTCCTGGAAAAAATAAGATGTTTAAATTCTTTATCCCTATTACAAATGCATAAGATAATGGTAATTGCCAAAGTAAGCTTATGCTTCTGAAAACAATGCATTGCAAGTATCAAGGTGACTTAGTTGGGGCAATACACTTCAACCAAATAGAAGCACTCTGACCAACATAACATGCATTTCAATTAAGGATTCTCATAGCCCAAAGAACAAAAACCATATGTCTTCATCAGCACTTAAATATTATTTACAGTGAAAAAGCATAAATAGTGCTGCAGGAATCTTTTGTTCTTTTAAGATTAAATCTAAGTGAAATCTTTCTCCTTCCAGAAAATATACCTAGTTACCTACCCCAAACCTAATAAAGGCTTTCCACCTCTATTACATTACTTGACACAGTTAACTAGTAAAGCAGGACAGCCATATAAGGAAAGTGTGTTACACAACTCAAATTCTAGCCTAGTAAAAAACAGATGAAGGCATCATAAGTGTGAACTGTGAAGGCATCATATAGTGTGAACTGTGAAGGCATCATATAAAGTATCAGAAGCATAAAATAGCTGCATAATTCATTTTTATGCATATGGCTTCGGTTTATGGATATTAGCCTTCAATTAGGAGGATAATCTTTTCAACCTAGAATGCAATGGAAACAATGACCAGCATCACCAAAAGAACTAACAAAAATTCTCCCAGATGATTCTTTGGAACTTTAAGTAGTAATTCTGATTGTTGTTGCTGCCACTTAGCATTTGTTACTCTTTTCAGTAGCCCAAACTGGAATGGAATATGGATGCAACTTTTATGTACTGATTAATGAATGCAAGAGTTATGTTGTCTGTAATTTTATCAACTAGCATGCAAATGTACTGATTAAACACCAAGGGAGACTGAATGCTCCAGTAAAATCCTATTATTACCATCATGATTGAAATATGTATGTTCAACCACAGACAGTGCCCATAATCAATTCCTAGTATGATTTTGGGGCATTTCTAGATACCTTTTGATTTTTTTTGCTTATGACATAGACTGTCTATAATGGCTTGCAATCATTAAATATACTAGCAGAAAGTTTTGACATGATTGACAACATAATCACATTTTCTGTTCTTGTTGGTTGACCATATATTGTAATTTGTACATCTCCTGGTAGAATGATTCAGTTTGATCAGAGTAATATAATCACATCAATTTTTCTTCAGGTATTGGAGTGAGAAAAAATAACCAAAATCCTAATAAAATTACTGATGATGACCTCCTTGAGAGTAAGAAAGTAAAAGTCACAGAGCTTGGTTGATTATGTGGCTCCAGAAACTCTAAAACTGCAGTTAATAGACCTATCAAAAGTTACTATGTCAGTGGAATGCCAGACATGAAATGTTCCCAAAAGATTCTACAATGTTGACCCGATGATTTTTAATGTCTCACCCAAAATCTTTAACTGGAAATATGTAATTGAATATATTTATTGAACATCTATCATGCCAGTACTCCAGCATAGACAAAATAGGGTACAACCATGAGCCTATTGTGGAACGCACATCAGGATAAATTCCAGCCATCTTTAAGTTATAAACCCCCACATGCCACTGATGCCACACACAATAGGAATTGGAACTTGGGACTTCAGAGAAAATGCTACAAAATCCATTTCATCCCACACCCACAAATTCAATTTCTTTAGTGGACGATAGAATATGACCTCCCTGAGAATAGCAATGCCTTCTGATATGTACTCAACATGTAGTCACTTTTCTTTGATTAACTCCAGTTGAAAGGTCCATCAAGGGTTATATTTCTGGGCTCCAAAATTCTAAGACCATAAATAAATGGGAAAAGAAAAACAATAAGAAGAGTGATGATTAACTTTTTTTAATTGTAAATCATCAAGGGTTATATTTCTGGGCTCCAAAATTCTAAGACCATAAATAAAAGGGAAAAGAAAAACAATAAGAATTGTCTTCATTCATTAACATGAAAAATGGATTATTTCATTTGAACAGAATTAATGTAGCATACCTCCCAATCCACTCACAGAAAAAATAAATAAATGACCAAAAATCCAAGTAAGACTTGTAAGAACTCAACTATTTAATGGAGGAAATCCATTTATTAATGTAGCATACCTCTCTAATTATCTATTTATTAACTTGCTTTCCAAGTGTATCTATGTAAAGAATACTTGAAATCCATTTCAAAAGAAAACCACAACCTATTAATGAAGTGAACAAGAAAGGGCATCATTCAAAAAAAGGAGACAACATGAAATAAAAGGATATATATATATATACAAACAATGGAGAGGAAACAAAATGATATACTTCAAGACCATTCTGAAATGAAAATAATGAAAAATAAAGGAAAAGAAGAAAAAAACAAAACGATTAGATCAAAAGCAATAAGATTTGACAAGAGCACTCTCGATTTCAAGAAAATGAGCGGCAACAATTAAATAAGGAAAAGAACTAACCATCACAAGTCCATGATGAAGACAATGATGGTGGTCAAAAAAACATTGATCTGACTATAATGTAGTCATTGGTCTATACACACCTACTTACCTTTTTCGTGTAAAACATAAAATACCATGAACTAGTTATGAAGAACATAACAGTCTGTGTGCAAAATGATTATAAATAATTTACATGCAACCATTGATCTATCTATTCTAAACACTTTTTTGTGCAAATGAAGAATTATATTTACTAGTAACACAAAACAAAGCAAAGCAGTTAGTGAGATTATCAGAAATGATTATATTCTTTCCTAATGAATACATCAAATCATAACAAAAGATTCGCTGATTCAGCAAAACCAAGTCCAGCTCCAATTCCTTAAATCATAGAGCATCCTAACCCTCAGGTTTTAAACATTAAGCCATAACATACCACAACAAATAAAAGCATATAAGTTTAATTGAATTTTGCTTCCAACTCCTAATTCTATTCCATAGTATAAACTGATTACATAATGGCAAAATAAGTTCACCATATGATTTTTGTTCATGAGAGGCTTCTACTACAAGTTCTGGGTATTCATATACCCATGAAAGCGTACAAAATGCACAACAAGTAGAAAAATTGATTTCTGTAGGGCTTAAATCTCAGCTTCTCTGTGTTGGCTTAACTGCGGTCCCATTTGGGAGTAATTTAGTAAATATTTGCTTATCCTCGGGTGCATCCAGACCCTCAGCATTCTCAAACAGTTGATTCCTAAGAACATCATGCAGATGCCCAAAAAGCTGCTTCTTCAGTGACTCAAAAGCCATGTCTAATCTCTCCAATTGCTCCAGTGCATTCTTATTATACATAAACAGTCCATAGTAAAGATCAAAGCTGTCCCCCTCTGTATTTTCCACCAAATTCAACAACGTGTCATACCCCTTAGTATTTATTGGTGTCGACTCCAGCCCAAACCTAGATAGAGCCCTCCCAATTGTATGAGTTATGAACTGTGACCCTGCTGCATGTCTATCATGCTCCGCACAACACATTTCAACCATGACACACCCCTCCTGTGCAAATATGTTGAGAAAATGATCGCAACGGTTTGTCCTTGATTTCTCGCTCCCAATCCTTACCTTGTCATAAACGAACTTAAGCCCTCCCCATCCATGCTTACCACTTTCTGGTCCAAACATCGGATGAGTACAAAGAATATCAAATTCGAGCGGCAAAATTTGAAGGAATAAATTTCTGGGAAACTCTTTAACCGAAAGCACATCAACAAAAAGGGTATTTCTTTTCAATCTTTGCACAGGAAAAGATCGGAGAACGGATTCCGTCGAAGTAATTGAAGTACACAGAAGTATTACCTCCGGGTGCTCTTCACAGAGATCATCTGGGTCAGAGAAAAACACAACTCCTAATTCACGAGCCACGTCAGAGTAATTCGATCGAGAATGGACTAAAACAGTATGCCCCTGCCGGACTATAGTTTTAGCCAAGAACTGACCGAAATTGCCGAACCCAACAATGGCAATCTTGAGCTTAGTTCTCTTCTCAAAGCGGTCATTGATCTTTGCCTCGTAATCGTAGGGTTGAGCAGCATCGATTGCTCTGATTCGGAGATTAGAACCACGGACATTGACTTGTGTTCTCGGAGCGGAGAGAATTGCAAAAGGGTATCGAGAAAAGCAGTGAGAAATTGAATGAATCTTCGAAGGTAGAGTGGGTCTTCGAAAATTTGGCAATGTGGAGAACGACGCCATGGTGTAAAAGATGGACGATGTATGGAGCAAAAACCAGTGTTCTTGCTCACTTCGATGACGGGATGCAGGTGTTTTTAAATCCCGCGAAACGAAGAAGAGACAGAAAGCTCTGTCGCTCCAAACGTGGAGTGTTTCGACTTTCAAGGATATATAGGGTTCTTCTCCCAAGTGGCGAAGTCTCCAACCGTTGTGTCGGTACCATGGGTCACATGTTGGATCAGAGGCTGGGTTATTCGCGGGAAAAATCCAAGGCAAAATTTATGATGTCGGAAAGACATGGTAAATTTGATCAATCAGTAGAAGATTCCGTCGACGGTGGGTCTCAGTTTAAAGATTCTAAATTGATGGTAGTAGGTTGCCAGCCTCACCTCCACCCGCATGATATCATGTTCATGTGGTGGTAGCGTTGCTAATGTGGTAATTTCAAAAACAATGAAAGTATTTAGTACTGTGATGTTGTTGCTATCGTGTTTGAGTTGATCAAGATTTTTCTACTTGTAATGTTTTGAAAACATTTTTAATTGATCAATAAAAATTGTTATTTTACCTAAAAGCTTAAAACATCAAATTTGATGTTTCTCACACATACATTTTTCTAGTTGAAATAATTCCTATATATGATGTGACAACACATATTTCTCACAAGTTTATATTGGTCAACCCAAAATGCAAATGCAGCACACCCCCACTATACCAAATGCCCCAGCTATGTTTGGTTTTTCAAGGAAAAGGTAGGGAACCCTATACAAACCTTGTATAGGATTCCCTTCCATCCCTACTTTTTCCTTCAAACCAAACATGGTACCAAAAACCATTTATGGTGTAAAATGCCCTCTCGTTTGTTTAGACTAAAAATTTACCTCTTGTAAGAAAAGGAGGATAATATAGTCACATATTAATTGCTTTAGGATTAGGGGTGTCTGTGGGCTGGTTTTGGGTTGGACCTTGTCCAAATAAAATCAATTTGGATGAATTGGATGGACCAATAAGACATTGAATTGGACCAGTCCAAACCTAATGGTCCCAAGTATTTATTGAATTGGACTGGACCTGGTCCATCCATAATGGATTTATATTGGGTTGAGTCGAATTAAACCAATATCTAGTCCATTTATAGAAGATAAGAATACAGGTATCAATGGATCAGGCTTGAGTTGGAATCAATCTAAATTAAAACCAATTTGAACAGATTGGACAGTCTAGGCATTGGAATAGATTAGTCCAAAATGATCCAAAGTATTCATTGGATTGGATTGGACCTGGTTCATCTATAATGGACTCATTAGATTAAACCAAATCTACTCCAATTGACATTCCTGTTTAGGATGGCATGGTTTTGGCATCAACTACAAAGAGGATCATTCCCTCTTCCCATTTTAAAGTGAATGCAAGTGACTCACCTACCACTTTGCAAGAGCAATTTGGTTGTCCTTATAGATAGGTATTAACCCAGTGGAAATAGGGGATCAGCCCTTCTGCATGATAGTGAATAAGTGGAAACAACTAAAATTAATGACTCTAATGAAGGAGTAGAGTTCTATATCATAATAAAAAACTAAACCCAAAAACAAGTTGTTGAAGCAATCTTATCGAGTAATTGGGAAAATTCCTTGCAAAAAGTTCCCCAAAGCTCACTAGAAACAACTTCTTTGAACAAAAAAATGTCATGGTACTTCTAATGATTTGGATCTATGCTTGGAATTTTTTGTTGATGGCTCGTATGAACCCAAAACAGGATATGCTGCAACAGGATTGATAATGTCAAATGCTAATAACAACAATATTGGTTTTGCCTCTAGCTATCAATGGTGTGCAAGAACTAGTTGTGTGATTGAATGGTGGGCAGTTGTACAATCTCTAGAGTTTGCTCGGAATAGAAACTGTAAGTAGCTTGTTGTGTTTTTTCATGTTGAAGTTGTCATTCAAATATAGAACATTGTGATATTTAGAGCTTATGCTAATTTAAATAAAAGTCAGCTCTCCATAATATTCTTCATGCATGGTGTAAGATAAATTAGTAAACTTAAGAGAAAATTTTTGGAACATTTTTAACTATAATTATTTTTATCTATTTTTCGGCTTACAATTTAGACATCCAAATTAGAGTGAAAGTGCTTTTATTAAAAATAATTAGAGCAAAAATACTCATTTAAAAGGATTTGGACCATAAATCTCATGTCTACTAAGAAATCCCTCCAACAATTTTGATATAAATCCAATTCAGTTTTAATAAAATGAAAACTAATTATATGTTTAGGCTCAACAGTTTGGTTCCAATTGTTTTGATTAGATACCTCAAGTTGGTCTACTCCATCTAATTGGATCTCTTGAAAGAAAAAATCCAAATAACATATAAACACTATACGCAGCAAACCTTCCAGCCATACATTGAAAATGTGTACTGCATTGAGTATGTATCATTGCACTTCTACCAATTGTTCAACTGATACTTCAGATTTATTTGGAATTGAAGATTTGTAGGAATGGAAAATTTTCTTACATGGCTTCCTCGACCCATCAGGATGCAGATTTCCTTGGTGGGAATAGGGTAGGGATGGGGATGGAGAATGAATTCCCTACCCCCACTTTGACCCTGAGTATACATGTTAATATATAATATTATTATGTTATTTATGATATTATTTATATATACATATGTATATCAAAATATATTTAAAACATTTTTATATTTGAACGTTATTTTAAATAAATCTCTTGTCTTAGTACATGAAAGTAAAAGAAGAAGAAGAAGAATAGAGAGAGAGAGAGAGAGAGAGAGAGAGAGAGAGAAGTGAAAGAGAGGCAAAAGAATAAGGTTAGTGGTGTAAAGTAACACTTTAACAACACCATGGGACATAGCCCTATATTCTACCTCTATATTAAACCTAACTACAACACTTTGTTTCTTATTCCTCCAAGTAACAAGATTTCCTCCCACAAAGGTATAATAGCTAGTAATAGATTTCTTATCATCCACTGAACCAACCCGATTTTCATTAGTGTAGAGTTCAACTCTTATATACCCATGCTTCTTAAAAAGAAGCCCTGTTTAAACATTTAAGCACTCTCTCTACTACCTCTAAGTGAGCAGCCTTAGGAGAATACATAAACTAACTAAGAGCATTCACAGCATAAGCAATGTCAAGCTGAGTCATAGACAAGTATAAGATCCTCCCAATAAGTCTTTGATATTGTTTAACATCTTTTATAGGTTCCCCTTGACAGTCACCTAACTTGTGATTAACATCCATAGGGGTGTCAACTGGTTTTGCACCTAAGTTGTTTGTATCCTTCAACAAATCTAGGATATACTTCTTTTGGGAAATGAAGATCCACTATTTTGAGTGGACAACTTCAATTTCAAGAAACTAGGTGACTAGACAATGTACACATCTTCCTCCAAATCTCCATTTAAATAAAAAGGCATTCTTGATATCTATCGAATATAGTTCTCAATCCAAATTTGTAGCTAAAGATAGTAGAACATTAATAGAGTTCATCTTTGCAAATGAAGTAAATGTCTCTGCAGTCTACTTCGTACACTTGTGTAAATCCCTTTGCAACTAATCAGGCTTTATACCTCTCTATTGTATCATCTGCCTTATGTTTTACAAAAAGCACCCATTTACATCCAATTGGTTCATTTCCTTCAAGAAGATCCATCAACTCCCACATATCATTTTTATGTAAGGCATTTACTTCTTCTTTCATTGCATCTGTCCATTTAGAAACTGATGAAACCTCTATAACATTCTTTGGAATGGCGACACTATCAAGGACTAAAAGAAAAGTACAAAACAAGGGTGAGATGTTCTCATAAGGCAAGAAATGGACCATGGGATGGTGAGTGGTACAAGATCTAACACATTTCCTATTTACAATACAAAGGTCTATAAATCATAGATAGATTTGTCCCCTAAGGAGAAAGACACGGAATGGAGGAGGGTTAGGAAGAGGAGGTAGGAGAACATATTTCTCCTCAACTGAACTTTCCCCTTAAAGAGAAATCGAAAAGAAAGGCTCATTCTCAAAGAAGGATATATCCATAGAAGTGAAGTATTTTTGGGACATTGGGTCAAAACATTGATATCCCTTTTAAGATGAATAATAACTAAGAAAAATGCAAATAATAGCTTTGAGATCGAAGTTTACCATGAGTAGATGACAGTTTATGGACAAAACACTACCAACCAAAGACATACATGGGTATGGGAAACAATGGTGCTTTAGGGAAGAGAAGTTGATGTGGAGCCTTATATGCCAACACCCAAGAAAGCATAGGATTTGTAATGTAGGCGGCAGCCATAACAACATCCATCCAAAACCTCTTTGGTACATGCATATGTCAAAGTATCCCCTAGCCACTTCAAGGAGATGATGATTCTTCCTCTCTACAACTACAACCCTATTTTTTGAGGGTTTTGGCACACGAAATTCAATGGAGAGAACCACAAGAAGCAAAATATTTGGTAAAATCACCCTATAAAAACTCTACATTATCGAACTAGAAAATTTGGGTCTCAGTCTAAAACTACATAAAAAACCATACACTAAAAATCACATATAAGTTTAGGATTTTCTTCCCTAGAGTGTATAGGATAAACCTAAGTGTATCTGAATAAATCATCAATGAAGGTGCCCCAAACATCAAAATATACAAAGTTGAAAGGAAAATAAACTCTTATTACGTAATGGATATGAGGTTCTACAATGCTTACTCAACTGGCAAGTTTGACACTGAAATTGATCAACATACACTAATTTAAAGAACTTTGTAAGAAAAAAATTTTAAAGACTCAAAAGACATGACCTAAATGGTTGTGCCATAAAACAACTTGACTCTTAATTATCTAACTCAAAGACCCTAAAGTCATAAGACTAGATTTATTCTCTAGCATGTATAGACCGTCAATATGCTTTCTCTATCATTCGTATTCCAAAAGGCCAGATCCTAGAAAACACAAGAATGGAGAATAAAGGTTATAAAGCAATTTAAAGAATGAGTAATACCACTCATAGATAACAAACTGATAGGCAAATTTGGAACATGAAGTACATTTGAGAGAGAAGGCCAAAGGGAATAAACATTATTCATTGACCGGCTATGGAGGAGAAAGACCCATAAGCTAATCTCACTTTATCTTTACTAGGGAAAAGGGTATAAGATTGAAATAAATTTGACTTACCAATCATATGGTTTGAAGCATCAA